CTCCTGCGAAGGGAAGGAGACTCCCAACCAAATCCCAACCTCGCCTCCTCCCACTCCTCCTCACACACTTAATCAGAATCCACACGCTGGGAACCGAAGAATCAACAGTTCCTGCTTGGCAACCAATCCCGGACATCCGTCATGGAAATTGGTGTCACGCAATCCTTGGAAGCGGGATCATAATATAAAAACTGGGGCATTGATTTGGGACCTCAGTAAGTTCTAGGAGCATGTTGACAGACGAGTTCTGTGGACGACAAGAGGGCGACACTCTGGCTACAACCCCAGTCCTGGCACTTGCTTTAAACCAATACGCACTAACGCGTGCAATATAAGTCCAGGGCCTGGCAAGGCAGCTGACTTCCCCCATGCTTCGCATTCCAACCAGATGCCCATTTGCCTTGCTCCAAAATTACTGCCTTCTGGAACGCTAGATTCCAGCAGGTAGGGCTCGCAATAGCGATCGATCATCATCTGAGGCAGCACTCAGCAGGCATGATGAGGCAGGCAGCGAACCAGCTGATGACAGCAGCAACGTTCTGGGATCTGATGTGGAACGCACTGCATTGCCAAGGTAGCGGGTCGGAAGTCAGTTCGAGGGGCTAGTAGCCCAGCCTTTCGGGAGATGTTTACAGGCGGTGTCAGCAAGCATGCAAGACCTCCGAAGCTTTCGACGTAGAACGTGACCAAAATCTTCGGAAGCGAAACGTCCAGCGACATGCTTGAAGAGCGTTGCGGCTCCAATGGAATGCGTTTCCTGGACCAGATTGCAATCATTCGGTTTCCATGTCACAGAAGCTGTCGGTGTGGCCCCGATGAGCTCCATGTAAGCGCGGACAGGCAGTTCCGCGGGACAGGGCGTAAGTCCTCTGGCGGTCACAACGTGATGCCAAATGTAGCGGGCCTGGGCTTAGTGGGCCCCGGAAACGGCAAGGCCGCTTTTCACCGTTTTGGGAAAATGTATTGAAAATCGAAACGGGGTAAAAAATCGGCGACCGGAAACGGCACAAAAAACGGCTTCAAGATTGGAACCGGCGCCGGAACCAAAGAAGGAACGGCGGCGGCACCGGCAAAAGAACAGCAAAACGGAGCCGGCAACAGAAAGGGCAAAACGGGGCCGGTACAAAAATGGCCCCGTCGCTTCCAGGGCCCACGCAGGGCCTGGGTGCGCAAGCTCGCCAGGTGGTCGGAAGTCGGGCTGTACCGTAAAGCACGCGGCCCTAAGTGCCCTGCTGCGCGCCTGGCCAGTGCAGGGCGGGGCCAGTGCAAGTCACCAGGGTCGGCCGCCCGCGGCCGTGCGGTGTCCAGCACGAGGAGCAGCCCAGCCCGCAGCAGGCTCGAGCTCCCGCGAGCAGCTGGGGCCAGAAAAAACAACGACGACCCCGACGACGACGACGAATGCGCCTGCAGCCGGCCTGTATCATGAGGATGCGCGAGAAGGTGCAAGGGCCCTGGACGCCCACTTCGAAGCTTTTCGAGCGGGGCGCGGCCAACGAAAGTGGCCGAGGATGGACCGAGGAGGTAAGGATGCAACGGTGACCTAGGGAAGCATAATCATCCTTGCTATGCGGGTTGACTGTGCATGGGCGCAAACAGCGTGCAAGGCCTCCAAAGGCCACACAGGTACCGAAGTCTGATCACACTGCCACCGTGGTCTCATCTCGCAGCCCCTCCGAGCCCAGCCTCCAGCGCTTTGGGCCCATTCGGAACAGCTCCGATGTCTGTGGGACAAGCAGACTTGAATTTAGAGGGTGGTCTTAAAACGTGATTCAGACTTGGAGGGGATATGTGCTACACGTTGACGGGCGCCACCCCTCGCATGTTACAGGAAGCCATGCAGAAGGAATTGAGGTCGAATTTGGCAGGGCAGACGAGGAAGGCATTTGGTCTTAGCGACGACGACTCGGTCTTGGATCCTTCTGTTGTCCGCGAGCTTCTGACATCACCGTCGATCTCGAATCACCAACGCAGTGCGAGTTGGGACTTTGTATGTTAGACATGCTAAACTCACTGCGGTCAGCATGATACTCTGCACCATTGGACTTTCACATGCCCCTGGACCAAATATCTGAAGGATGGTATGATACCTTTTAGGATACGGATGTCCTCCAACATCCCCATCAGAAGAGACAAAGCCTCTTGGGGTGCCCAGCGTTTGGCAGATGTTCATTCCTCCTGTGTGGGGATACGAGGTGAATGAGTTCTGGCTGGCAGAAGAGCTACCCCTGACAGAGGTATGTATAAGAAGTTATGTCCCCCGCGACGCATCACATTACACTCCACACCGCATGCCACGCCCAACACAAAAATCCTGGACTAGCAAAGCAAGGCAGATGCATGTGTCACGGATTCGGTGCACGAGCAGTTGCACCAAGAGGAAGCTTGAGACCTCTCATTCGAATAAGACGAAAAGCCCGGAGCATGATACATAATACCAATGCCAACATGCGAACGCGGAGAGATACGAGCTCACCCCCATTTCGTATCGGTGAGACCTGAATGGAGACGGAGAGGAAGGAGGAGGAGGAGGGAGTGATCGCTAGGCGGTGGCCGCCGGCGAGCAAGTGCCAAAACAGCATGGCACAAATGACAAACGATAAATCGTACTCAATGTACCTACGGTGAAACATCCTCACGCGAGCACATAGCGGGGGAAGGACGGGGGAAGCAGGAGCAACGGCGGCGGCGTCGGCGAGAGCGGGAGGAAAGAGACGAGAAGGGAGGACCACGTACTGCATCTCCCCAGGCAAACTCCAAACTAAAGGGCGGAACGTGCTGGCTGACGCTCCGCCCTTGGCCAGCAAATAAATATCGTACACCTCATTGTCTGTACTAGCGCACGCAATGCCATATACTTGTTCTTCTAAGCAATGGCGGAAACCTCCCTTGCGCGAGCGTGTGTGTGGCGGCATCCGTGTTCTAGGATGCAACAGTGGACGAGGCAAAACAAAGTAAGACAACATGTTGCCGAGTCGGTGCCCGCCTTGACAATTTCAGCTCATGTTCAAAAGACGTCGTGTTCCCCAATGGTGCGACACAACATCGTGGGCATCTCGTGCAATACGCCTTCACCTTGACAGTGCCGTCGTCGGCCTGAGAAGCGGCGAGCTAGTCGGCGCAGGAGTCGACGAGCTGGTCGGTGCGGTAGTCGAAGAGCTGGTCGGTGCGGGGGTCGGTGAGCTGGTCGGTGCGGGAGCAGCCGATGATAGTGTCAAGAGCTGCGGCAGCGTGGTGCAATACAACATCGTGCGACACAACATGGTGCGACACAACATCGAAAGCATCTCGTGCAATAAGCCTTCACCTTGACAGTGCCGTCGTCGGCCTGAGAAGCGGCGAGCTGGTCGGCGCAGGAGTCGACGATCTGGTCGGTGCGGTAGTCGGTGAGCTGGTCGGTGCGGGAGACGGTGACCTGGTCGGTGCGGGGGTCGGTGAGCTGGTCGGTACGGGAGCCGCCGATGATAGTATCAAGAGCTGCGCCGGCGTGGTGCACCACAGCATCGTGCGAGACAGCATGGTGCGACACAACATCGTGGGCATCTCGTGCAAGATGCCTTTATTTCGAAATTGCCGTCGTCGGCCTGAGAATCGGCGAGCTGGTCGGCGCAGGAAGTATGTGTAAGAAGTGTCTATTCTGACGGTCCGTGACTGTAAGGATGAGCCCCAGAGGCACCGTCGACGATATAGCAGAATCGGGCCTGATAAAGCTTAGCAGTGACGAGGATGACGTGGTCAGCGTACAAGCCAGAGTAGGCAACAAGCTCCCTCAAACTTCTCTTGCCGAGGAGCAGTCGGCGGTCCTCGCTGCAGCCATGTTGCTCCCTCGTATCACCGAGATCTGATCAGACTTCCTAGGAGTCGGCGACTGGCATGTGAAGTATCGCCCACGCCTGTATGACAGCAAGGGCGTTAACATGATGACGCTAAAGAAAAATCGCCTCGCATCTTCAGAACACTTAAACATTCTACCCAAATCGGCCCCGGAAATTTAATCGCAAATTCGGACGTCTGGCTCTATGCTGCACGCAATATGAAGGCAGACGCGGCGGCCAAGGTAGGAGCCTGGCAGCATGCAGATGAAGGTACAGCGGCGACCAAGGACTGGAGATGAAAAGTCGTCGCTCTTGAGGTCTTGAGGCAGACTTACCTCGCATGTAAACCTGGCATGTCAAAAAAACGGGCCTCCTCGAGCACATTGAAAAGCGGCAGCAGCGAACCCAAATTGCAGGAGCTGGCAATGGAGCGGAGGTCCGGACTCGTGGCAGACGCTACTGGGACTCAGCCTGGCGCAGCCTCCCCGTCTGGGGGGGTCAGGGAGCAACGCTGGGGACGCCGCTGCTGGCTCTCGTGCCCCAGCTGCCCCTCGCCACTTCCTCCTGCTGCTAGTCCAGATGGACCCCAGCACGACCGGCGTTCGCGGCCAGCCGACAAGCGGTGGCCAAACGGCCACTGCCAGAGACGGGCTCTGGCAGGCCCGCAACTGGTTGGGCAACGCAGGCGGCGTAGCACGATCCTCCAAGCCGTCTGCAATGGTCCGCGAAGCCACACCTTGAATGTGACGGAGCATGCCCACGATGGGCGGCGAGCCCGCGGGGGGAGTGAGAAGGGGCGGGCCGTCTTGGAAGGCTCGGAAGTCCGCCAGCCTTCCGAAAAGTTGTCCGAGCCTCCCCCAAAGACACAGAAAACTTCTCAGAAGGGGCGAGGGCTTCTGAGAGGCCCCGCCGCCTTCTGAGAAGGCCTTTTCCTTCTCACTTCCCCTTCTCGCTTGCCGCCGACAAGAGACCCTCGTCATGTGCGCAAGGTGTGCCTGTATATACATGTCCGAAGGCGGCCTAGCGGTGGGATTGGACGAGGCCTGCAAACGAAGGATGGCACCCGAACGCCGCGCTCGTAAGTGGGATGGGGCGCAGAGATGGCTGCGACCAGACCGTAAGCGATAACATTGAATTCAAGATTCGGCTCATGTCGTTCTAGATGCGCTAGCTGAAAAAAGAACGGCA